CCACATATGTACACCTGGAGACTAGTACCAAGAACATGTGTAGCCTGCATGGGCATTAGCACTGGATCCTCAGTGTGTGGCCATGCTGTGTCCTAAGTACCTGGCAGGTAAAATGAGCCAAGTGGAGCCATAGGACCACGATAGAACATCTAGGTCAAGCTAGAGTGATGACAGCTGCTAAGAGATGCCACCAGCACTGGCCCGTATCCTTCTGAACACACACAGTGCTGCTTCTTTCCTGTGGGAGCAGGCACATTTGCAAACACGCAAAGGTGTGAGGTGAGCTTGAAAACTGGGCTCAACCAAAGAGAAGAGATGGATTTGAATGGAGTCCAAGGGCATCCTCATTATTTGTTAACTCTTGGGTTTTTGTTATTTGTTTTGTTTTGTTTTTGTTTGTTTCACCTGTGCAGATTTTAAGCAAAAATATTGTATCTTAAGTAACTAAAAGCTGGTTTAAAAGACAAAAATAAATCTACTCCAAGTTATCAACAAAGTTTTTAAACGGTTCCTTTAATAAAATACTAAATTCCTGGGATGCTGGAGAGCACTCAGTGGCTAAGCACTTCTCTTGCAGAGGACTCGTTTGGTTCCAAGCACCCACATACAGTGGCTCACAACTGACCATCTGGATACACATCTTGCGTAGACAGACATTCAGGCAAAGCACACATATACACAAAATAAAAGTAAATAAATCTTTCTAAAAAATAAATACAATACTAAATTCAAAAACAAAAAACCCATGTTAGAATACCAGGGACATGCAAAGGGCTGGGACACTGCCCACTTGAAGAGTCCCATGTGCCCTTGTGAAGGTTTTAGGCTGGGCACTAAGCCACCACACATTGTTTATTGTCAATGAGTCTTCCTTGTATTGACTGAGTTCTGGATCCATGTGCATTTCTGTTTCACCTCTAATTGTGGAACTGAAATCTGAACACACGAACCTCAGATAAGCAAGGCAAAACCCAAATCAAGAGATACACAAGTCTCTTGGAATATAAGGGAACTTTTTTGTTTTGCTATTTGAAGGATAAGGCAAAGTGCAGAAGTGACAAGTAACGAGAGAGAGGGGGAGGGAGGGAAGGAGAGAGAGAGAGACATAGACAGAGAGAGAGGAGGGGGAGGGAGGGAGGGAGAGCCCCTGGCAATTTATAGGACATAGCTAGAGTGACTCATGGAATGTGTTTTCTGGACCATCTGCTTATGCCCTTTTTCTCTCTCTAACACACACACACACACACACACACACACACACACACACACACACACACACACACACATTTCCTTATTTCCTTTGCTATCCTTCCAAAGCTTCATTTCCTAATTTAGTCTTAGATGACAGTGGTTGTGCCACCACACTCACATAGAGTATGCTGGATTCTGACGTACATACAGTCAGCCCACACAGGCTTCCCTCTGTAAAGGGAAGCCTTCCCGCCAGCCTGGTTCCAGAGGCACATCAGTCCCAAATAAACACACAGGAGGCTATATTAATTATGAAGCTGTTGGCCTTGCTTGTTTTTTACTGGCTAGCTCTGACTTAAGTAATTACCCCATAATTGTTAATCTAAGTATGTCTCTTACCGGAGAATAGTTCCAGGCTTCCTACCCCCATGGCGTTACATGTTGACTCTCTGTGTTTCTCCTTCCCAGAGTTCTCCTGGACTCCTAGTCCCTCCTATCTTGGTTCCCTATAGGCTCAACAGTACTTTATTGACAAATGCACAGGACTTCCCCCAACATCCCTCTACAATGCTGCTATGTTTTTCTTTTCTTTTTAGACAACCCCATAAGTACATTAGGGCTCTTGGTAGACTCCCTCCAGCTTTTCCTGAGCCCAGGATATTTGAGGGTCCTAGTACTCTCTAACCTTCCTGTGTATAATAAAGATTCCTGTAGCCAATCCATCCACTTGGCTTTTGCCGGAAGTCGTATTGTGTGGAGGTCTAGACTGGTCCTTTCTGAGTGTCTCTGTACACTGTCCCCTGGGTTGGGGGCTTTATCTTTTTCTTGAGGGTTTCATATCAGATTATGCTATATGTGCCCATGGGAGTATACAACAAAATTATATTTCTTTATTATTTGTATTTTAAAATCAGCTGTGGAAGTAGAAAGCAATTGTATATGTATTCAGTGCAGCTTTAAAAAGTCAAACAGTATAAACTCTGTTTGATGAGACCTCTTCCTCTGACTGCAGATGTCTAGAGGCAGGCATTCCTGGAATACAGTGTGGCTGTGTCTGTTGAAGGAAAATGGTCACTTCAAAACACAATTGCAGGATACCTTATATTTCCACTTGTTTCCCAGTTTCTCAGTACATATAGAAAATCATTTATTTTAAAAAACCAATAATTCATTGTAGAATTATATATGGTGATGACAGGCTAACAAATCTTCAAGTGAATTACTATACTCACTAATTAATATTTATTAAACGTGCTCTTATTGATAACCACTCATGCTTTACTTTTGATTTGTTTTCAACTATAAGCAATTTATCTTGGAAATATGAATTTTCATAGAATTAGTTTAACCATTTTCTACAATATGGTTGGGATTTTTAGGATATGGAAAGATTTGAATAGATAGCCTCCCTCCTGGCTTATGAGGGAACTAGGTGTGGAATGGAATGTAGTTCTGTAAATCCCCGGCCACTGCCAGCCAGTTAACTACTCATCATTGATGCTCCTCAAATTTTTGTAGTAGTTGCTATGCCTTATCTTGTATGTCCTGCAGATGTGGTGCTGGGTGGAGTCCTACTACACCTTCCCTAGGCCATTCTCAACATCTGGAAGGTACTGGGTGGAGTCCTACTACACTTTCCCTAGGCCATTCTCAACATCTGGAAAGGAACTGCTTGGCTCAGTGGATCCTCAATGAAGATGAGAGTAATGTATTCTGGAGACTCGTGGCAGAGAACTGATGGGGTTGAGGGGATGTTGTCCCCAAATGGTACCTCAACATTTAAAAAATAAAAGCAAGGCCATGCAGTGGTGGTGCAGGCCTTTAATCACAGCACTCAGAAGGCAGAGGTGTGAGGATCTCTAAGTTCAAGGCTAGCCTGGTCTGCAGAGTGAGTTCCGGGACAGCCAGGGCTACACAGAAACCCTGTCTTGAAAAACAAAAGGAAAGAAAAGAAAAGAAAAAGACAGAACAAGTGCTCTCAAAACCCCTAAGTCTTCTCTTACTCAGGTCGTAAAATCCGCATTTGAGAGGTGCCCATCCTATACCTACAGGTCAGGGAGTTCCCATCTCTGAGGGCAGGGACACAGAATCAGAACCACCAAGACTAATATTCCAAGATGTGTTCCATTCGTTTATGCTGTGGAACATTTGTTTAATGATGCAAGGATGTGTTTCATTCTTTAATGTTGCATTGGTTTACCCCTGTGAACCTGTGTTGCTTTACCTGTCTAAAACACCTGATTGGCCCAATAAAGAGCTAAAGGGCCAGTAGCTTAGCAGGAGAGAGGAATAGGCAGGGCTGCCAAGCAGAGAGAATAAATAGAAGAAAGAGAAGAGGCACGAGAAAAAGAGGAGGACATCAGGTGTCAGCCACCCAGTCACCTAGCCAGTCACAGCATAAGAAGGAAAGCAAGATATATAGAATAAAGAGAGGTAAAATGCAGTTAAAGGGAAATGGGATAATTTAAGTTAATCTAGAAAAGTTGGCTAGAAACAAACCAAGCTAAGGCTGGGCATTCTTAGTAAGAACAAGTCTCCTTGTGATTATTTGGGAGCTAGGTTGCAGGACCTGTAAAGAGTAGCAAACAAACAAAAACCCAACTACATCATCTTATGCCCCTTAGATGGCACACTCTCCAATCTCTCTTCTCACCAATTATACACAACTTCACCCAACCGAAAGACACACAGGCTCCTGTGTAGCTTCGTGCCGGGCCCTTGTTTCTTTCCAAGATTCCAGATTTACGTAAACTAAGTTAACATTTTTCTCATGTTAATTTTGGCATGCCATCGGGGCTTCAGCCATGAGCCTAGCAGGAGGCAAGGGATAAATGAACATGCACAGGCTCCTCTGATTGCTGGGGAAGAGGCTTGGTCTTAAAGCTTTGGGGAATTTACTAAATCCCGTCACACTCGGAGTCAAGACCTCCCTGGAGACTAAAAGTAGATACCCTCCAGGGTGACCGTTGACAGTGGCACTTCAAGAAGCTTCCCTAAGTCTACATTTCCCCAAGGTGGGGTACTCCGCGGTGTCTGAGTCCCGAGAGAAGTTACTCGTGTTCACCCTCCTGGCCTTCCCCTTTCTGTACCCGCGCCACATCTCCGATGCTTTGAGCATGGACACTTGATGTGTGCAGATTTTCCAACTGGTATTGTGGTAGTCAGCCTCACTGGGGAGGTGTGCCCCCAGCAGAGAAGGACCTAAGGGAGAAAGGCACCTAGAACACAGAGGTGCCGAGAATCTGAATGTACAGCCTGTTGGGTGGGATCTACTGAAAATCACCAAGCGCAATTAACCGCAATTTTGTGAGACTCTGTTCTTTCCAAGAAACATCTAACACCTGAGGCAGGGCAAGCGCCGGCTCCAGGCTTTTCTTTTAGGTGTTGAGGACTCGGAAGCCGTTTTTCATCTTCCCACGCTGTCTCGGGCTGGGCGCCCAGAAGGAAACCCAGGCGCCCCCTTCTCGGCCTCTGTCTGCTGCACCCTGTCCTTCCACAGCTTGCGCTCTGCGGGGACTGGAGATTTCCAAAGCCTGACTCCATCCCTCCCCAGATCAAACCCTTTCTACTGTTTTGGGGTGGAAGGCGCGTCGCCGGCGTTAAAAGGCAGACGCGTGGAAGGCAAGCGAGAAAGTTGCTTTTTAAATTTTAGCAGCTGCGTCACCGCAGTCGCCTGGAGAAAGCTCCGCCGAGCAGGACAGATTCCTTGCAGCTTTCAGGCGCCGGGCGTGGGGAGGAGGCGGCGCGCGGGGCGGGGGCGCGGGGCTGGGGTGCAGGCGGGGACTTGGGGTGACGCGGTCCCGGGCCGCTGTGCCACACAGGGCTTCTGGGCTCTGAGCAGAGTCCTGCGCGGGGCTGTGCGTGCGGCGGGACGCGGACCGGGAGGCTGGCTGCCCGCGGGCGAGCCGCGCTGGGAGGCCGAGGCCGGGGTCGGGGCCGGGGAGCCCCGCGAGCCGCCACAGCGGGGTCCCGGGGACGCGGAGGGACCATGGCTGCTGGCGGCATCGCCACGCTTCCCGCACTGACCGAGGACGGCGGCGCCGCCTTCCCGCCCGGCCACTTCAAGGACCCCAAGCGTCTCTACTGCAAGAACGGCGGCTTCTTCCTGCGCATCCACCCCGACGGCCGTGTGGACGGCGTCCGCGAGAAGAGCGACCCACACGGTGAGCCATCGCCTCCCACCCGCGCGCGTGGTCTAGACCGTCCCGTTCCCTCGCCCTCGGGGACCTGAGGACACTGAGGCGAGGCGCCCTTCAACCCTAGGCACCGGGGACCCAGGGACTCGGGAAGCAGCTCCATTCCCGTGGCGACAGGAATAGGGTCCCTGCCCAGCACCTCCTCCCGCAGCTCCAGGTGGGCTGGCTCCGTAGTCTCAGGCCCCTCACAGGTCACCTGCCGCAGCCAGGATGCTAGGAGTTTGAGGCGAGGGTTCAAGGCTCTTGTGGGGGATGGAGGTGGGTGTGGGCGTGTCTCCTCCAGGGCTCTAGAACTCCTTGACATTCTGCAGTCACCCAGGGAAACAGAGGCAGAACGAAAAGTTCCTCAGCCGAGCCCTGCGTTTCAATTCGGACTTGGTGACCAGAGAGATGTGGTCCTTACCCTCACAGCTGTCACACTCTTCCACCACCCAGCTTTTCCGGGTTATTCCAAAGAGGAAAGCTAAGGGAGTCAAAACAGACAAGAAACTAGCAAACCAACTTTGACTTCCTTGGCAAAGCTCGACAGACCTCGGTTCAGTGTGGAGTCAAGAGCGATCCTTTGACAACGCTGAAGTGGGGGTACCTCCCTTGCGGTGGATTGAGGGTGAGAGAAAGTTTACAGCTTTAATTTATGTAATAAAAGCATACCTGGTAGTGGATATAGAAACTGTCCTGAATCCGTAGACTCAGCTTTAAGGGCTCGCAGATAACACTGCAGCGCTTGCTGTAACAGGTTGGACCCAGATCCCGGAATGAGGGATGAAACACCGGCATTTCTGAGTTTGTATTCTCAGTCGTGTTCCTCCAGGAACCACTTTTGGAGAGCCACTGGCTAGAAAAGGCCCAGGTGGGCTAGTCTATGCTTCTAGGGGTTGGAGGTGAGGGAGACGACCCGAGGTTACAAACAAGTCGTTAAAACATCTGCTTAAAAGGCTGCATTCATCTTTAAGGGGTCGGGTGGGGGGGGGATCTGACTTTTTTTTTTTTTCTTTTTTGTCTGAGAGAAGAGTTTTTTTCTTTTTTGTCTGAGATGATGAGTTCCTGGGAGCTGAGGTTTTCCATTCAGGAGCTCTGTATCTTAAGATGCGCAGGGGATTCTATTCACTATGTAAGGAGCAAAAGACCAGAATGCCCCACGAACAAAAGGAGCTGTCCTGCATTTGCGACATACACTTTCATATTTGCTGAGTATTTTTTACAGCATAATAGAAAATTTAACTGACATATAAAATATAAAAGATGTGGATATTAATGAGATAGGGTGATTTTCCACACACTGTGTGATGTTTAAATGGATTTAAAAAAATACCTACCTCTCACTTACATTTTTTACGGTAAAACCTCATCCGGACGCTTTTTTCTCCTTTTAAACTGTGACACAGTGTTTTCTGGCGTCACTGCTGTGTCCTCACAGAGAAGCATTTTGTTGCTATCTCTTGCCTCATAGGGATCACCAAGAGATTGCGTGTCTATTGTTTCGGCCTACTGTAATTTGGAAAGCCTTTTCAGTTGAAAAGATGCTTGAAAGCTATTGCATGAGTTGGCACTGCTTCTCTATTTTAGTGTAGAGTAGATGTTTTAAAAAAGTATCTGTCTGTGAGATTTGTCTGCTCAGCTGCTAGGACAAGCTGCATTTGTATCCCAAGTAGTTTTATTCGTTCCCAAAGCATGTGTTGTTGGAAAACATGTCTCATGACTAAGGGCAGAAGAAATATCTTCCAATCTGGGTTCTGTTTGGAGCTTTACCTAGTGCTCTTGTTTTTGAGTGGTGTATTAGTTGCAGGATTATTTTTTTTTCTTTGAAGCTGTTTGCCTTATAGTAAGATAGAGGTGAGTGGGATAATTCTGAATTGCATAACATATTGCCACACTGTAAAAACAGCTGTTCATTCTTCCCAAATATCGAGTGGGTTCTTGTGCTTTTTTTTTTTTTTTGGGTAGGGCCTCTCTATGCTGGTTTCAAACTAGAGATTTTCCTGCCTTGGCCTCTTGCCTCTTGAGTGCTTATAGGATTATAGGCCTATAATCTTGGTATTGGCCTTGTGTCATGATGTAATTTTTTCTTAAATTTTACCTTTTAGATTTATTTCACTTTATGTGTGTGAATGTTTTGCCTGCATGGATGTGCACCAGCTGCATGCAGTGCTCGTGAAGACCAGAAGAGGGCGCTGGATTTCCTGGAACTGGAGTTAGTATTACTGTGAGCCATCATCACGTGGGTGCTGGGCTCTGAACCCAGGTCCTCTTCAAGAGCAGCAAATGTTCTTAGTTGCTGAGCCATCTCTCCACTCCTTCTCCAGTTTTGTAGTCAGTGATTCTTAAGTGGAGTAATCTGACAACTCTCTGAGACACTTGTAGACATCATAACCTAAAACGTTACTTCTGGTATTTACTGGGAGCACTCCTGGATGCTTAATGGAGAGCACTTCTGAGTGCTTAGTGAGGAGTACTCTGGGTGTTGACTGTCACTCTTGTATGTTTAGTGGGGAGCACTCCTGGGTTTTTAGTGGGGGCACTCCTGGGTCTTTGATAGGTAGGTGCCTAATATATTAAACATCCTGCTCCACTCAGGACACACACAACAAAAAATTCTAGAACTAAGGTCCAGGATCTTCCTGACTTTATCATTAGTAAAGACATGATGCTCATAGTTAAGATTAGAATAACTCATCCAGATGTGTGCGGACAACTAACTCTCGTAGAGGGCATCTTTTTCCCGACAAGAATACCAACCTAAAAGAATACCAACTACATCACTTGTATAGTCTCATGTGGGCATAACCTTATGTACGGCAGCATGTTTTCCTAGCTTGTGAAAGTACACTGATGGTTGAGCAGATCAGGATGAGGCTCATGGGAAAGATACAGGAGAGTTTAAGGAAGGACAGATCCTCAACCACACACTTCCCTAAACAAACCAAGAAATACACGCAGCAGCTTTCCCACTGCAGAAATGGCTCAGAATCTCAGCTCTTTGTGGCCTCAGTCTTCAAAGTGTCCAGTTGACGCAGAACTCTATCACTCAAGATTTACTCCTTTCTGTTTATATCTCTTCCAATGTGCAGGAAGCTCTGAAAGGCAGGTGTAATCCGATGGTGCCTCTGCTGGCTGGTGTTGACATGAGCTTGACAGAAGCTGGAGTCAGCGGTGTTTTCCCCTTTGAGAAAATACCTCCATATGATCTGGCTTCAGGCAGACCTGTAAGGCGTTGTCTTAATTAGTGACTGATGGGAGAGGACCCAGCCTACGGTAGGTGGTGCCATCCTGGGCTGGAGGTCCTGGGTTCTATAAGAAAGCAGTGTGAACAAGCCAGCAAACAGCACCTCTCCATGGCCTCTGTATCAGCTCCTGCTTCTGGGTTCCCACCCAGTTTGAGTTCCTGCCTTGGCTTTCCCCGGTGGACTGTGATCCAAGATATGTAAGCCAAATAAACCCTTTCCTCCCCAAGTTGCTTTTGGTCATGGTGTTTCATCCCAGCCATAGGAAGCCTAAGACAGTGACTCTGAATGAAATTGTGAGTGCCATGGCGTTCTGGGGAGCCGGCTTTGAGGACTATGGTCTATACAGCGGGTGCTGCCTAGTGAGTAGTGCAGTTCCGCTACAGAAGGAGGAGAGAGGTGGGGACAGGTGTGAAATGTCCTGGAAGGGAGGCCAGAGATGACAACCACACACGGGCGTTTGCAGGTTTGCAGAGTTGCTGATGGTCAGGGTGTCCACTCCTGGCTGATCCTCGCGTTCGTTTCACTCGCATGGGCCTGTTTTCTGCACCTTCTCGTTTATAGGCCGAGCAGCTCTCTCTTTGGCACGGGGGCTGTGATAAAGGCAAGGGGTGGCAGTCTGCTTCTCCAGCACACGTGCTGTGCACACACCTTCTCTTTGGCATCCCTGATCTTGATCTCAGCAAGCCTCTTCTGATGCCCCTGGGGATGGAGTGCCATGTGTCTGCTCCAAAGGCTGAGCAGGGGGCCATGTGAGATGTTCCAAGGGAGAGAGCATTTTTGTCCCAGGCAGCGTGTACGGCATGAGGAGGAGTGTGAGGTGTGGGCTGCTTGTGGGCATGCTCGCATTAGATCTATTCCAGATGCTCTTTCTTAGGGGAAGTGAAGGTAGTAGGAATGCCGGATCTACCCTGAGCTAACCCCGACTGCTCATTGGTAACAATTCTCTGCTTCCAGGCGTCGGGGGACCTGAGATTGGCAGAGGCTGGTGGTTAGCCCACACCGATGAAGAGTAGGAAGGATAGCCAGCTGAGGCTGCTTCCTGCGCTCTTTGCCACTGTACGCATTCCACACAGCGCCAAAAATAAAACAGGGATTGTGAAATTCACAGATCTCGTTTTATAGAAGCTTGAAGTAGTAGCCAGTTGCCTGAGTTACCACCACCCCGCCCCCACCCAGATTCACTGTCCTGACCCAGCTTCTTGCTCACCTGGCCTGCCAGGCCTACTTCTACAGCCTCCTTGCCCTCTCCCATTCAGGAGCCGTGGTACCTTCTGGATGCCTGTGGCCAAGCTTCCTCAGGACACTGAAGACCAGTTGCTTCGTGGGCTCCGTGAGCCCAATATTGCTGTTTTCTGAGAATTCTGGTCAAAGAAGTCTTAGCTTTTCCATTGCCCTGTGTAAATGCATTCATTCATTTAATGGTTCTAGATGCTTTGACCTTCCCCTCCTCTGGTCATATCTGGCAAGTGGTCCCTGCCAATTATCTTTAATAAGCATGGTATTTACTGTAATGCTGTTTGTGTGCAGTAAACAAATGAGGCCAGACTCTCAGAGCTTATTAATCCTGGAAATCATGTAATCTTTACAGAGTGAAAGGACAATTCATGAGTCACAGATATTACCACACCTTAGGAGTCTTTAAAGATGCACTCCGTGCCAAGTGACTTCAGCCTGGGAAGACAACATCCCCTTCTGATGTGCCCTGAGGGCTTTTGTTCGGTTTATAAAACATCCGTTATGTAACCAGGCCTCTGACACTATGACAATCTGAGTAGTCTCTGATTATGTCATGCAGCATGGACAGACAGGGTTTTAAAGTTCAATTTGAAAATAAAGTCTTGTAGATACAGTAAACAAACCAGAACCAAGCTTAGTATATCACAAGTGAAAGTCCAGAGTGAGGCTGGGGAGTATCATCAGCAGAGCTAGCAGAGGCCTTCAGGGTCCCTGCTACAGGAAACTACATTCCACACACACGAGACACTGACTGAGGCATTGGTGGCTGCCCATGTCAGGAGTCTTCTCATCTTTTCCCATTCTGTCCTTGCTGATTTTTCCAACACTCTTCCTGGGTCTCTGCCTTGTAGCACAATTTGTAAGGCAGCTGGTCCGGGGTAAAAGCCTATGACCAAGAAATGATCACATCTGGGGCACACATCTTAACCTCATTAGCATATTTTGCCCAAACAAGTCTCTCTCTCTTTCTCTGTGTGTGTGTGTGTTTTCTCTCTCTCTCTCTCTCTCTCTCTCTCTCTCTCTCTCTCTCTCTCTCTCTCTCTCTCTCTCTCTCTCTCTCTCTCTCTCTCTCTCTCTCTCTCTCTCTTTTTTTTTTTATCAAAACAATGAAGCTGAGAGTCCAGGCCAGTGGGATGCAATGTGCTTGATAATTAGGATGTCCACAGGAGATATGCCTGTCAGTTATGTTTTACTTTAGACTTTCTTTACACAAACAATACCATGTTATTATAAAGGTTATGGTGATCTCATGTAAACAAACAAACATCTCACCAAGTAGGGAACTGTTGGTTGGTCAGGCAGAAAAAAAAAAAAAAAACCCTGCAGGTTTCACTGGAAATCCTCTCCAGTGAGAATGCTTTGGAAGAAAGCCAAGTCCTTTAGATGTAGCAGGCCAGGAGGATGTCACCATTGGAGGTCCCAGAAGGTCCTTGAGAGGGCGGAACAAGGGGCTAGTGCTGACGGGTGGGCATGTGTGAACTAAACAAGCCAGAGTCACACCGTGGCCAGTCATAAAGTCCCCTTGCCAATGGGAACCCGCACAGGGGCTTTAGGTGTTGTGTCTCAGGAGCGTGGCAGTGCAATCCTGGGAGCCGTCTACAAAGCTCCAGTTTTTGTACCATTCCAGGGGGTATTAGCTTCGGAGCTACCAAAGTTCCCAGCTCGGGGCTGGTTCCTTAGCACACATACCGAAGTCTGTCTTGGACTTGTCTCATGCTGGAGCTGCTCCGTGGCTGTCTCCTATCTTGAAAGCATTACATTATCCCAATTCACATAAAATGGTTTTCAAGTTACATAAAATGGTTTCGCTCACTTTACTAACAAATTAGAATTCTCACACCTGCAGGACTCCAGTGAAGCGTTAGACAGTAAGGATTGGCTGTGATTTGGGATGTTTCCTTCCTCTGCTCACTGCTAGCTCAGCAACTAATTATCCTCCTGTCACAGTTATTTTAATAATTATGTCGGGGACCCTCTGAGCTATGTTATGGACGCTTAGGAACTTAGGAGAGGTTGCGAGCAGAGTGTGACTTCCCTTTTGAGCCACAGGCTCTTAGAAGTCACACTGAACTGTTTTTAACCCTTGTCTGATATTTTTAGTCAGAAGAAATGCAGCAACAGTGAGCCAGTATCCAGTGTTTAACTTGTGTCTCATCCAGTCACCTCTGTTTCTCTCCCTACACAAGGTGACTTGCCTGTTGTAACCCTGCCCACTGTTTATAGAGACCTGGAATGTGTGTGTGTTTTCAGAGGGTTATTGACCCTAAACTAACCTCTGTCTTGGATTATCCAATAGAATTCCTCAGTAAAAGTTCCAGGTTTTCAAGGTATCGTGGATATTAACAGTATAGAGGAAGACAGGTCAAGAGTAAGACTGGGCTGGTTTAACCCACAGAAACAGTTGACCTGAACAAGGGGGAGCTCAGATTGATGGCTCTGTGGAAAGCATGGGACTTACCCAGACCCCCTGAATGTGGGGGTCAGTGAGGAGGCCTAGGCAATCTATGTGGCAGGGACTCGTGGGGGAGGGCCTAGGCCCTGCCCTGGATGAAATGACAGTCACTGGAGATCCACTATGGAGGGCCTCACCCTCCCTGGGGATCAGAGTGGAGATTGGGTGGGACTAGGGGACCTGGTAGGGAGGGTGGGGGAGGGGGGAGGGAGAGGGAGCTGGGATTAACATGTGAAACAAGATTGTTTCTAACCTAAATTATAAAATAATTATTATTATTATTAAAAAGAGTAAGGGTTACATCCCAGATGTAACTGAACTATTAAAAAGAATGATCTTGATTTAATTAATGCTTAATATTAACTTATAATAGAAGTTTATTTGTAGTAGTTAAAATTACCCCCAAAGAGGTAGTTTATGTAAGAGAAATATTTGCAGAGGAGTAATGATCCAGCTGGGTTCCATGAGTTTATTGTTCTTTGTTCATAACTCAGGCCCTGGGAGGATTCTGGGAGTGTGGAGGGGCCCTGCCTTCTCTGTGAGATGAGTTTGACCCCATACACCCTGAGTGTTGGAGAATGGCAGAGGCATTCCTCATGGACATCTGCTCGGCTAAGGGTTATAGTCTCTGGTGTACATTCAGATACTTGCTTAGAGGTCATAATTATAGCTAACACTGCTACAGCTGGGGAGTTTAGGAACACTTGGAAGATGGTTTTTCTAAGGATAATCCATGGAAAGATGTCACTGCTCAATGAAAGTGAACCTTACAGCTTTCATTAGTTCTGATTTCTTTAAAAGCATTTACTATTTTATTTTAGATTTGAAAAAAATCGTGTGTGTGTGTGTGTGTGTGTGTGTGTGTGTGTGTGTGTGTCCCCGTCTGTCCGTCTGTCTGTCTGTCTGCCTGTCTTATAACTGCATGTCCATTGAGGCCAGAAGAGAGAGAGTAAATCCCCTGGAGCGGAGCTACAGATGTGAGCTGCTCATGCTGGGGGCTGAGCTTTGGGCCTCCGTAACAGTTCAGGTGCTCTTAGTCACTGAGCTCTTTCCAGCCCCAGCGTTTTGTTTTGTTTGAGATGAGACTCTTACCCTGTAGCACAAGCTGGTCTAGAACCCTTGATGATTTCCTTGCCTCAGCCTTCCCAAGTGCTGGGATCACAGCTATGAGTCACCACGGCAAGCTGCATTTAGGATTTTTTTTTTAACTATGTACTGAAGGATCTATTTTCCTCGGGGTTCTGAGAGCTGTTGATTCTTTCTCAGTGGTTCCAATCCTGGAGTCCTCTACTTCCTTCCACTTTACCTGCTTTTCATTTTGTGAGCTCATCCTGGCACTAGGGTTCTATGTCAGCCATTGGGAGGCTTGCTTCCAGTGCCCAGTTTGCCACTCTCCTCTGACGTGTGGCCCTATTGCCTGCCTCTGACTTCTTGGGGATGCTTTGCGTCCATTACCCTACGCTAAGGATGCCCCTGCCCAGCTGGTTTCCCTGCATGCTCTCCTCTGTCTGGCTTTTCACTTGCCTGTTCCCTGTCTC